AGGAAATAACATGGAAACTGCTGTGTCTGGGTATTTGCTTTATTTTCATTTGTATTTTTAGGGACTTACAGGCTAAATTTCTCTCTCATCCATATGGAAAGTTCTGCAGAATGTAACAGAGCTGGAAGCAATAAAAATCAAACCAGGGAACATAGAAACAACGATGATATGTATTTTTATTGAAATAGCATCTACAAGCTGGAGAGGTAAATCAGGGCTGCATTTTTCTTGGCGCCACAAAACATCACAAAAGGCAGCCCTTGCCCTAATCACCGAACAGCCCACAGAAATGATGCTAAACTTAACTGCATGGCTAAGGAATGGCCTCCCGCTCCACAGGAATTACCATGCCACGTGTGGAATCCAGCAGGGAATGATGGCTGTGCCATGGGGTACATACAGACCGGTTTAAAAGCTTAACAGCAAGCTTGGCATTCTGGATTGCATCTGGGGGGAATGGGAAGTTGTAATGGCAGAGATACCAGCGCAACGGTGTTACCCTGGTTTCTCCTCAAGGAGCACATGGCCTATATTGTCTGCAAGGATCACTGAGGAAGAAACCTCACAGGATGAAATACCCACCAGATTATACAACAAGGGAGGGAAGGGCAAGGGAGAGAAAGGAAGGGAAGAGGTATTTGGAATAGGGAAACATCCTATCTAATGAAGTAATTTAATCAGACCAATCTTTCCAGAATCACTTGTATCAGCTGAACTTACAGTTTAACACAGTGGGTAATACTCCAAGAGAAATTCCACTTGCAGCACCACAAATCCTCTTGACTAGTAGTTTACTTTTCAGATGTATTTCACTTCTCCTCAAGTTGGAGAATAGTGTGCATTCACACTGTGCAATAATACACCACGTGTAGGCAAGCACGTCCACTCAGTGAAATTAAACACCACACAGTGAGCACTAGACCCAGAAACAATCAGGAGATATAAAGTGTCAGTGACTACTTCCGGAGGCTCTTCAGCTAGGAATTCTTACGTCAGCATGAAGCTAAGGACCAGCTGGATTTATCTCCACCCTGTACTTCATGATGTGGAGCAGACATAGCATGAGATATAGCATGAGAGTATCAGTACCTGGATCAAACTAATTCCATGCTTTGTCTCTGGTGTTTCAACATCACCTTACTTTTAATTTTTCATTTTCATTTGAACTGCTCACACACTGGGACCATCTAAGGACCTTACCATATATTGGATTCAGTTTCTGTGGCTTGAGTCTGAGTTGCAGTAAACACATACACAGCTCTAGGCGTCTGCAGAATGTTGGAGTGAAAGGACAAAAATTTCTACATACACCTGTACTCAGGGAGTACACAGCTCCAGCTAGATGTAGTCAACAGGTATGTCTATACTGGTATTGCCCTGCTCCACAGTGTAGTTTCATGTGATGAATCATGCTGGTGTGGGTCCACTGCAGGGACTAGGAAGCACTACAGAGCCTGCACAGCCTCAGGAGGACACACAGGGAAGCTCCTCTCTAGCATGAGAGGTACGGATGTGTCACAACTCCCTGCCTTCTGAGAAACCTTTGTGTTTAGGCTATGAAAGAAAACTTTCTTATGATCTCAGCAGCGCAGGGAAGTCTCTTCAGGATAAAACCCCGAATTTCAGCCTAAGCAACTGTAGAAGCAAGTCCCTGGTCTAAAGCAGGTCCACCGTCCACTGACAGACAAATCTTGCAAAGTACTGAGCAGTTTTCAAAGCCAGATCTTGTACATGTGCTTTTACATACAAGCTTAGGAAGTCAATTTCAGATTATTTCATTATTATTATTTTTTGAGATATTGACACTGGCCGTTCTACTTCATCCTTGTATAGTTCTGTGGTCACTGTTTGCTTTAAGTTCAAGCGCACCTTGAACTCAAAGAGATTCAAAGGTAACCCCCTTAACAGCCAGGTTTGGCAGACAGAATTATTTTTTTTCCCCCCTTATATTACAGAGTTGCTTACCTGAATTACTAGGTATCTCTGAGGGTCTCGAGCCATTCTAGAGAATTCAGCAGCCAGCTCCTTGAATTTCGGCCGACTGTCAGCATCAATCATCCAGCCTGGGGACAGATGAAAGATGAAAAAGAAAACAGTTAATTGTCAAGGGAAGAAATAATTCAGTTTTTAAAAATGCACAAGTTTGAAGTCCTTGATATATCTGGCCTAAAGAAAAGTTGCAAGAAAGAGTCCAGAAGAATGGAAAGCTAGAACTCTGTGATGCACCTAAATGGAAAACATCCAGTCTTGGCCAGAGAAGATGAGGTTGTTCTACAATTCATGGATTTGTTCTTAATTTGCTCTGAGCTCCTGTAACCCATCCCTAAAACAGAGACAGCAACAATGCCTTGCAATTTTCTCTATTTCATTTCATTTAGATGTCGGCTCTGATTGTCTTTTGGGTTTATTACAAAGTTACTACTAAATACAATTTTACTTCAACTGACCTATTGTTCCACAGTGACTTAGATTAAAAAGAGCTGTTCAACAGATCTACAGGATGACTGCCCTCGCATCCACCTTTCAGGTGATTCTCCATTCAGGAGTCTGCACCACTAACACAGACCTCACACATGGCATTAGATGTTATTTTAATTGAGTAAGGGTGATTCTTTTCTCCTTCACTCTCCAAGAAACACTCATTAGGAACAACAATTCTTAATCCCTGCTAATGCTTTCTGCAAAACAAGTAAGTAGTTGTCCTGGGTTAAGCTGAGACAGAGTTAACTTTCTTCAAAATAGCTACCAAGAGGCTGTGTTTTGGATTTGTGCTCAGAAGAAAGCTGATAAAAAGTGATGTTTATGTGGCTGCCAAGGTCCTTCAGCTTCCCTGTCTGTTTGCAAACAGGAGAAGCTGGGAGGGAGCACAGCCCCAGTTACTAGACCAGGATTTGATCTTAGGTTTGGGATTGAGACCCAGAGTGGCCAATAATCTATTCCATAACATACACGTCATGCCCAGTATATAGGTGAGGACCCTCCAGAAGATCGGCCCCTTTTGGTTCCGGATCTCTTTTGCTCGAGGTCATCTCGCTCCAGGTGGTCGCTCTCCCAAGGCCTTCCCTCCCCCCGCCCCCCGGTCAGCTCTCGGTCTGGGAGACTCAGACTGTTATCTCCGTTCTGTGAGTGCGGTTTCGGGACTCTCCCTGCTCTGGGATCATTAGCCGGGAACAGGCTGAGCCTTGGTCATCAGGTGGGGGGGCAGGATCACTGTGTATCACTCATTTGTATATTTGTATATAGTATTATTTTCAATATTATTGTAGTTTAGTTATTAAACTGCTCTTATCTCAACCCACGAGTCCTTTTTTCCCTTTACCCCTTTAATTCTCTCCCCTGTCCTTGGGTGGGGGGGGAATTGGGTGAGTGGGTGTGTGGTTTGGACCCCAGCCAAGGGCAAACCCATCACAGTAGTGCAGGCAGTAACCACCAGCAACTAGTTTATCTCTGTGTCAGCTTTTTCTAATGGAAGATCCTATCAGCAGCTTCCCAAGAACATGTTCTCATTTGCAGAGGAGGCTAAACAAAGCGAGCCTTATCTCCTTCGTGCTGTTTAACTGAAGAAGTGTCCAAGGCAGGAAAAACAAAGCTACTATAGTTTATAAAGAATTTCACCCAAACTTTACAGGATTAAGTCTGTACATCTAACTGTAACATTCCTTCTTTCAGTACAGCCCGTCTATTAGGACTTCCTTTTGTCCAGACACACCTCACACTATCAGATGGAACATTTTTGCACTCAATCAACGTGAACCCCTTGCACTAATCAAGCAATTTCCATACTTGCATGTACAGTACAACCATTTTCAGAAGATACATTGTTTACCTCTTCTAGCTTTATTTTCTTTCTTTCAGTGTTTTTGTGTACAAAGCAAAAGGGAAAGGTCTGTATAAGACGGATGAGATGTCTGTATGTTAATCTCAGTTAAATTACGTCAGAAACACCAGAGAGATGTTCCTAATTCTTTTTAAATTAGAAGCATAACCTTGGAGGATACTGTCACTAGTGTGGGTAACTTTGAGATAAAAGGGTGGGAAGAAACCATTTGCAGATCGTTTTCCTTTTTTGCTAAAGCAAAAATATTCATGAATTATTGCACTGGTCTAAGAATGATAAAAAATTATGCCCTCTGCAGCATTTCTTGTATTAAGTTAATTTTACTTTTTTATTACTATTGCAATCATCATTCTTGTTACTAACAATAAAACATTTATGCTTTCTTTCCTCAATATTTGGAACCAGCATTTCTCCTCACAACCTTCACTGTCTGGCTATCCACGTACCATAATTATGTTTAGTACTATCATTTTTAACATCAAAATCAATTGTCATGGAAATGACAAGAGTTTACAATAACAATCATACAATTTTGACTTCATAGCAAGAAGATGAGATACCATCTGATGGTAATAAGAAGCTAACTCAACACTTCATGGCTGAATTTTTATCTTTTGCAATTGCAAAAAATGTGCATACAGTATTTAAATGGAACATACCATATCTTGGGAAGCTTCTGTTTTGAAGCAGCATGCCCAATTACCCAGCACTGTCAGAGACTACAGATGAAAATGTTCTAAAACAGTGTCCTTCTTGCACTGAGCATAGATATATTAAAAGTGACAATTACTTACACTTCACCATCACCATATAAACATCAATAGTGCAGATTGGAGGCTGGGGTAACCGCTCTCCCTTCTCCAAGAGGTCGGGGATCTCTCGAGTTGGGATTCCATCGTACGGCTTCCCACCAAAGGTCATAAGCTCCCAAATAGTGACTCCTACACAGAAAAAAAGTGTTAATATATAAGGTCATACTACTCAGATTTCTTCACGATTTCTTACAGTGTAGTATGCTGGCCCAGCTCTGGACGACCACCTCTTCTTCATTACCAGTGCCTGTAAAAACACTGATGTTTGGTCTGCCATTTAAAAAGCTCCAGAAAATGGTGAAACAGCACTTTTTGATAAACTTCAAAAGCAACTTTCCTCATTTTCATGGGTGCCAGAAGCAGAATGATAGATCTGAGACACAAAACAAAGGTCTAAGACAAATAAATGGTGGTAAACAGATGCAACAATAAGGGAATGCATGCACTCTTTTATCATATCAAAAGGGAAAATGAATGGCTGATGTACTCTATTATTTTATGAAGGAAAAACACAGACGTTTCCTAATTTAGACCACTGTCTAAGTTTCAGCTGGGACAGAGTTAACTTTCTTCACAGTAGCTAGTAAGCAGCTGTGCTGAGAAGGATTTGTGCTGAGAAGGCATCTGACAACATACTGATGTTTATAGTTGCTGTCAGGACAGCCAAGGACTTTTCATCTTCTCTGCTGTGTCAGTGTCCCAGCTGAAACCAGGAAAATTTCCCATAAAGGTACAGCACTGAGTAATGTTATGTCATTGTCTTTGCCTTGTAAGTCATTCACCGCCACTTGTATTATTTTTTTCCTTAAATCACCTTATGGATTTGAGTTACGATAGTGCTGTGCTTCAAAACCAAGATTCTCTTTTTGAATAGCCACAGGATTCGTTTCGGCATTGGAGCTCGAAACTAAGATCATATATCACAAGTAACCAAATTGATCCCCCAACAAAATCTTAAATATTGAAATGCTGCTCTCACACCAGTTTATTTTTATTACAAAGGTCATTTTAAACACACCTCCAGATCAGTAACCATATTTTGCCACCTGTCACGCTAATGTGAAAGGTGATGGGCAAAATTACCATATGTATAAAACGCACCCTCATTCACCTCTTTGTTGATGGTTCAATAACTATAACTTGCCAATTGTTTTTGGTCTTGTCCTTTCTGATTATAGATATTCTGGGCTTCCTGCATTTAAAATGAATTTCATAAATGGAGGCATATTTTTCCTAAGCGATATGAAGTATACAGAATTTGAGGAGAAAGAGCAGCTTTACATGATCGATTTAACTTTCATATGTTTTTCCCAGATGAATAGAAGAGGGCAGCTAACCAGTCATAGCAAACAGTGTCTTTTGCTGCTACCCACAGGTAAAAACAAGTAATAAATTGTACACCTTTTTGTTTCAAAATGATACAGCAACAGGAAATGCAAACAGGAGTTCATAGCCCTAGAAATTGCTGAAAAATTCCACTTACAAAGGTAGACATGATTTTATTAGCAATAGCTATGCTAGATAAACAGGCAGACAGCTCAGTAGATGTGGCACAATAGCTCAGCTGGATAACAGAATTAACAACAATAAATGAACATCTAATTTCTCAAATTTGACTTTTTATGTGTGTGGAGTCCACATGAGCTGACCTGTCTAGACAATTTCCAGGTTATCTGTGAAATTAAATGGATGCTTGTTTTAGTTGGCTTGGAGAGCTCG